TAATTAAACAACAGAGTAAGTCTAATTAAACATTTGATTACGGAATTGATTATAAAATTACATGATTAGATCTTGTATTATTTATTTAATTTATATTTAGTGGGGAGCTCAAGCAACTCTGACACATTCATCAATCATTCATAATATCACATTTTCACTTGTTACTCTTCAACTGAACACCCGCAAACTGGTAGCCGAAGTTCTTTCTTTCTTTTGTTATTATGAAATCCCCACCAGTCACACTCTCGTATTAGAAGGCTTTGATCAACTTCAGAAATTTCTTAATGAGCATGGAAGATTTGATGCTTGTATGAGAGTACTGGAAAACACAATTGATGGACATGGTCGTTATGAGAGTTTGGATAGTTCGTTGATGGAATATGTGGTAAGAATCTTTAGTGCATCTTCTGCAAGTACCTTTTCTCTGGGATAATTTTATGCTTTGTATTTGCAATAGTTTGCGAATACGATTTTGGTAAATTCAATAATTGGTGTATGTGATGACATTGAAATTCGGGTACATTTAAGAAACCAGCTACACGCATGTGGACTAACACGTATACTTGATGTAAGCCCTCTAATTATACTGTAAATGCATTAAATTATCTTATTTCGGATCCTATCAATTTACAATTGTTTGATATTTAGAAAATGAAAACGTTTAATCACGAGCTTATTAATTGTCAAATAAGCAAGTTTGAACGTGAGACTGAACTTGATTACGAAGAAGTTTTGGATTTTTATAATCATCAAGTTTTGACGACAAATGAAACATCAAATGAAACATCAAAAGAATGGCTTGAAAAAGCCATTTACAAGGGGCATATAAATAATCTTAAATATAATGAATTTACAGATCCCGAAATGATTGGTTGCGGGGGTTTTGGAAAGGTTTTTAAATACGAGTGGAGAAATTGTGATTTAACGGTTGCTCTTAAATGTCTTAAATCCGAACCCGATATAAGCTTAAACGAAGAAATTATTGAAAATTTTGTCAAAGAGGTATTTATTATATTAGAACTTGAATTGCTTCCTGGCATAGCACTATAATTTTTAACAATAATCTGAAATAAAAGCTTAAACTGTTACGAAAAGTCGATTACCATCCAAATATTATTAAGTTCTATGGGGTCACGAAAGGTATACATATATAGTTTAATATTTTTAAATGTAAACTAATAACTTGATTTATAATATTAATTATAATAAATAGACAATAACGGATATTATAATATGGTTTTACAATATGCCAATGATGGAGATTTACGAAAGTATTTGAAATCAAATTTTGCAAGATTACAATGGGCAGACAAATTACAGATCGCCAAGGAAGTAGCGAGTGGTCTTTTGTTTTTGCACAACAACAATATTATTCATAGGGATCTTGTAAGTATATTATTTTTATATGTCTGTTGATTTATTGCAGCCACTGATATTCTCAAATATTGTATAGCATTCAAAAAATATCTTAATTCATCAAAGACAGCCAAAAATCGCGGATTTTGGGCTATCTAAGCAAATAAATGAGGTGTCTATGATGTCAAACTCGATTGTTCGTGGAATGCCAGAATACATCGAGCCCCAATGCTTTATTAAGCAAGGATATAAACGTGATAAAAAATCCGATGTCTATAGTTTTGGAGTGATTCTTTGGGAAATCTCAAGTGGAAGACCGCCATTTCGAGACTTAGCAAAGGAAATAATTATTGTTCGTATCTCTAATGGGAAGAGAGAAGAACCTATAGAAGGTACACCATCTCAATATATTGAACTTTATAAACGATGTTGGGATGATGATCCTGCCAATCGTCCAGAAACAAAATTAATTCACGATACTTTGAAACAACAACTTAATCCTGATGAATCTTCGAGTCAGCATAATTTTAGTAACACATCAATTCAAAATAATTATAATTTTTTCTCGAGTCATCAAGATGTAAGTGCAAAAAAAAAATCATTTAAGATAAAGCATCACACATACTTTTTATATTTTTTTGTAATACTGCTGAGGTAATTTGCCAGAATTTCTAAGCCTTTGGCATCAATGAAGGACCGGACCCATCTTTGATATGAATAGTTTATAAAAGAATTGATGCAAATTTTGAAGTTTTAAATGTATAAATGCATTAATTGCAAAAACAGCCCAATGAATTTCTCACGTTATAGGCAGTGTCCTTAAAAAAATACTGAGTGAATTCAACTGTTTACAAGTTATACTTCCATCCATTATTTTTTTAAGATAATATTCTGGAGTATTGGGATCATCAACTGTATTTTGAACAGGTTTCGAATTAACAGAATTTATTTTCTATAATATAACAAAAAAAAAACGATTGATTAAACAAGGAGGACTAGGCAGTCCAGGACAAGAAATAAAATTTCTTCCAACCCTTTCTGTTTCTGTTATCATATTAGTCTGTACCAGCTTCCATTTATTTTCGACCGGCATGGCCAGCATTTTATCAGATAGACTTCCCAAATCTAGCTTCCTCTAACATGTAAAAACTGATGTTAACACCAAATCACTGATCAATTTACGCCAAACGATAGTAGTATATGAGGAAAAACAATTTATACCATCATATTTAAGAACAAACGTTCAACCTCTTCATCAGAAGGCCTAGTAGGCTCGTTTTTATTAGTACTTAATCCGGTTAGTTTTTTGTTTTTTGATTTCTCTACAAATTTCTCAAAAATTTTCATGGTTTAATGTTTTCTGAATGACAAATACACAGTTTCATAGGCTAAAATTCAGATCTGTTCTTTCAAGTAGGTGGTTAATAAATGATGTTAATAATAAGTATGAACTAACTTAAATAACGACGAATTGAAAGCGAATACGAGAGTAACAATTAGGCGTGGCTGAATTTATTAGTTTTCAATTTTAACCAACCTATTTTTCTATATATGCGTAGTGCATGAGTACGGTGCAAGACATTTCAAAAACCTCAATAACTCCATATAGAAATAATGCTAAACTGGTAGCACGTTGAAAATCAATTTCTTAAACTATCTATCTCAATAACAATCTTTTTGCATATACCAGTACGATCACATGAATGTGTAACATGAAATGTGATAGGGATGGTTTCGTTCAACTTTTTTGATGTCGCTTAGGCTGATTTTCTCAGAATCCTTTTTTAGTAAACATTATGGTTTTCGATTGTACAATTTTGGTAGTTATAACTTTCCTATTAACGAAAAGATATGATATCATTACGGCGTGTGATGAGATTACTATTTTGTGTTAGCGCATTTAGACTAAGACTTTTGAGAATAAGATCTGTATAAATTGCCATATAAAGATATATTGGATTGATGAGTAATTCTTGTGATTTATACTAGTACGATCACATGAATGTGTAACATGAAACGTGTGAGGTATGGTTTTCCGTTCAACTTTTTTGATATGCGCTATGCTGATTTTTGAAAAATCCTTTTTTAGTATAAGTATGGTTTTCATTTATCCAAATCTAGTAGGAGTTAAGATAATACTGACATGGCGTATTCACATG